TATAAATGATGGATTCACAACTTCAAACGTAACAGAGAGAAAAATGCACCATGAACAACCTGAAAGCTGATCATCTGAGAAGAGGGTTCGAGAAAACAAATGGGTTAGGATATTGTCTACATGCAGAGTATGAAGATTAGTGCAGAATGATCATAGTGGACTCTAGCCTCTATTGCCTCACCCACATTCAGAGGTGGAAAGAAAACTAAGCGAGCTATGTTGGCAAATTTTACTCAGGCCATTCTAGCTCAACTGAAATAAGAGCGCCTATCTATCTATGTATTGATACATATCTCTATGCCTCTGTGTATCTATCTACCACGCAAAGCACATTCAATGAGGTGAAGAAGAGCAATGAAGTAATTCTGAATAGTTTGTATGTTACCAAAGCTTCTTTTTCTATTATTTTTATTATGCGGGTGCAGTACAGGAGAAGCACTGATATCAGCAAACATTACACAATCATCCATGAATAGCAGGAAAAGAAATCACAGATGATGGTTGGGGAAAAATAGGAAGTAGAAACTCGTAACATCAGCACTGTCACAGCACTCATTCTCAGCCAAGGCTCTCATATCTGGTGTCGTTGTCATTGTCACTCCTTGAGTGAAAAAAAGAAGGGAAAAAAGAAGCTTGACACAAAAGTCTGCAGCTCTCTTTTGCAGCAGCGATAATTTCATGTCAAGAAAAGAATGCATTCAGGTGCAGTCTGTTCATATGCATTATATTGGAACTGCACATGTGAGGAACAGCAGGAGGCAAATGAGGACGGGAGGTCGTTTGGATAATCGTGGAGGGACGCCAATGGGAGCTAAAGGCAGCTACGGGTGGGATGGAGCTAAGACTCAGGGAAATACTGGGACACTTCTGTCTTTGTTCTGTGGATTTACTTGGTAAGGTGTAATTGTTGAACAACTCACTGCTGACCTATTTATTTCCTAAACTGCTGACCTAATAATAATAAAGCCAGTGACTTCATTTCCATTCTTGTTTAAGTTAAAACTCAATTAAAATCTGAACACATTCTGAAACATGAAAATGCACACAAAGGGGGGAAAAGGCTTAAGAGCTGAAGAACTATGATTTGGCCAATATTGGCAGGTAGTGGTGTTGATTGTATTTTGGGTCCCTAAAAATCTGGCATCAAATATTTGGTATTTCTCTGTAACATTAAATGAAGGTTTGGAGGGGGGAAAACACTCTGTATTTCTATTATATGTCCACCTACTTCATCTGCTCCGGCTACAGCTTTTGCTTTACACACTGTTTCTCTACAGGCTTTGTTTCAAAGAATGGCTTTTGATGACAGCCACAGAAGAAGAGTTACAATGCTACAGTCATTTCCAGAAAATATAGACCTGCAGGTGCAAGGATACAACAAGCTCTCCAACAACTTCTCGAACATGTGATTGTGTCTATGATCTTGGCTCTCCTTTACTCCAAATGCACTATTTTTCCACCACTGCCTTTTGGTCTGTCGAGGCCACTTATGGAGGAAGTAAAAGTGAAAGTGAAGAAGTGACACCTTTCCTCTTCTGTGATGTAGGTCCAGTGTTCCCTGTATGACTGTTGAACACTCTTGCACGAAGGAGCTACTCCTGTTTTTTTTGGCAGATACAAAATCTCACATGGTTTTCCAACTAATACTGGAAAAAGGGTTTCAAATGTAAAAAAACAAAAACAAAACTAATTTTGGCTACTTATGCACACAGCAAATAATAAAATGGGTCCAAAAACAGTTTATTTTTAGTTTAACTTCAGTGGCTGGGTGCTTTTGTTATCAATATCAAGTCTTATTTCGTTCATCTATCATTTATTTATTTATGACTGGCATGTTCATATCTAGATTAATGTGCAATATGATATAAAGTAAAAAAAAATTGATCGAACAAAAGGACTCCAGCATGTAGGAAACATTAAATGGGCTTGAGGAAAGGTGAATGTAACTCGATGACAGATTCGCAGGCAGGAGGCAAGATGCTCTCGAACCCTAGTGTAAGATAATGTGCATAATCCACTGCAGGGATGTTAAGTGCACTCATTTCACACTCCATTTCACACAACGCTGCCCTAGGAAGAATCTGTGTGTATGATGACTCAGGAAATACACAACATCACTCTTCTGCATCTTTCTCGTGTTGTTTCTCTCCATTGTTAATAATCTGGAGTCAAATCACTTCTCCACGCTATTGTAGAATAAATTATGTGTCAGGAATGTAATAAGTACCAAAGCCATGTTATGCATGAAATACACACGAGTTAATGGAAGCCAGCGTTTCCTCAAAAATTACTTCAAAAGATGCATTATGGACATTAAAACGGTCTAATTTCCACCTGTGGCTTTATTCAGAATTTACAATCTAACACACAATTGAAATGGTACCACCTAAAGGGAAAACAGTGTCTGTTCATATATATATGATAGCCTGTTATGAGGATAAACATTTCATTTCCATCCATCAGCCCTAAGTGTGGGAATCTCCATCACTGCTGTCAGAAGTCCATTAAAATAGCTTGCTCATCATATATACACTACCTTAAATATGATATGAAATTAGTCCATTAATTAATAGTGTGTACAAAATGAAACATTTTAGCACACTATAAATGTATAATGCATGTAAAAATAAAAAACTGTCCTTAGAGAGATAAAATTGAGTCCACTAATTGCAGGGAGTTTAAGTGAAAAGCTGACAAATTCTCAACTATGAGAATGGCCATAGTGTTTCTTAATGCACTGAGAGAAAATATTCTGAGTATCTATGAAAGCATGCTTACATAATGTGAATGCAACACGAGGGCATAAATCAGTGCAGGGATTTTTAACTTGGCTGTTTTAGTTCACACACTTATCCGTATATTTAGTCATCTGTTTCATTTCACATTAAACGACTTACTATTTATTTCACATATAAAATGCCGTGTTTGTACTGTAGCCAAGTTTCCCATATCCCTCCAATCTTTACTATGGAATTGTTTGGAAAACCTCCCTGGTGAGCAGATGGTGCCTGCCGGGAGGAGAATAAAGCTAAAACCTGGGCTCTATACACTGCACACACATTTCCCCATTTCCAGAGCAAGCTTTTGTAAAAGGGAACAACAGAGGTCTAGTGGGAATTTAACCATGGGTCTGTTTTGGAAAACACGTTTGTTTATTGGAGCCTTTCTCTATGCAGCAGCTACAGTAAACACCGTGGATACTGGAGACTGGAGAAGAGCATCAAGCCCCCACTTGCTGGAATAATTTCAATCACTTTGATCATCATGGTTTCCACCATGAATGCGATGTGTTCATTATTTGACCCCTTTGTCAACGGAACAAAAAGACAGAGAAGCATTTGAATTTACTGGGAAAGCTTATCTACGTATGCTGGTGAATTCTGTATTATTAAGCAGAGAATGAGGCAATGCTACAGTATGTTCTTATGGCTGCTTACGCTCTCGTCCACACTGTATTGAAGAGAACTTAGCAGCAGGCAAACCAGGGGTCTTACGCTGAGTCTGCACTTGCTAAACTAACTCAGAGGACACGATAAGCCAGGCAAAGCTTGGAAAAGTAAATCTGAGGCTGTTTGAATAAGCCCTGCACCTCTCTGTCAGCTACAATCAGCGCACAGAGTATTCGTCCCAATCTCTCTCTGGGGGAGATTTCTTAAGCACGCTTTGTTGCTAGATCCAGGTAGGCTATCAGTCACTGCAGTAGTGAAGAACATGTCAACAAGAATAACCCCAACATAAGACATAAAATCCTCATGGGACCTCTGAGGCTGGACTAGAACAAATTAAAAAATCTCTCTTTTGCTGAGTCACTCTCTTTAGATAATTACCCACTGATATGAAGAGCATTTCCCCACTTGGCTGTAAGTTCAGAGGGAATGCAGACAATGGCATATTTGGCCGTAATCATAGCAGCCCCCCACCATCAATTGAAGCTAAGAGAGTAAGATAGCACAGAGCTAATCTTTGGCTCAACAAAAAGGCCCGAGAGGCCAACACAAAATGGAAGCAGTATTAAAAAAATTTGCTCCTGGCATGAACCTTCACTGCCTCTCCAAGCCCTTTAATAAAAGGCCAACAACAGACAAAAACTGTGCAGGTAAATCAAGCTTAATATGCATCCCTAATAACCAGGGAAAAAAGCCTTAAAGTGCAGCCCATGCATGCCTAAATAATCTATTAAAGTTTGCTCTGGGGTATAGTACAGCAGCAGTCTCACATCAGCTGGTCTACTACTGTCTCCACTCTCCCTGCCACTGCCAGGAGGCTGCACATCTGCACAGCACAGTGACTGACAGTCGATGGTTCACACACCGTTTACCCCACCCCCGACACACTCTCTCGAAACACCACCCAGCCGGGGTGCTCCCCTACGTGACTCAACTTGTTTCAGGGCTGAGAGGGAGACACTGGGGGAGAGGTGGGGATGAGACAAATGTGGGGGAGCTGGGAACGATGAAGCGGTTGTTTGCATGCTGTTGTGTTGCTGCCTTTCAGAGTTAAACTGGGTTTTGCTTGAATTGAAGAGAGGATTTATCCATGGTTTCGGTCTAATCTGCGCTTTCAAAGCTGCAACTATATTTATATTAAAACCCCGCAGCTCCAGTAGTTTCGATATTGAGTCATTCTTTTATCATATTTTTGCGAGACTTCAGGCGCCTCTGCAGCGCAGCGAGATACAGGGCTCCACACAAAACGCTGCGCCTTAACGCGTAAAAACAATCAATGCACTTACAGTCCAGGGCGTTGCACTCCTTTTTACAGCCAGCACATATATTTACTTTTCTAAACTACAACCGTGTGAATCATCAATTGAAGTATTATACAGCTCTGAAATGTACATGATAAATGTTTTGTGTGCACCCCCAGATATCTATCATGGGTCCTCGTTGCCAGCGCTCTGCGTTCGCACTAGTTAGTATCAAGTAATTTTAAGTCACGACGTTAACAAACATTTGATTGTCATAGATGGCCCATTTTGCAGCTCGGGCGGCTGTTCTTACCCCTTTCTCCTGTCCACGAAGAAGCTTTTCATAAGAAGTGACCCATATCCACGGCAAAATCGCATCTTGTTGGGCGCATCAATTTGTAGAGAGAAGATTTCCCGAGCTTCAAAAAAAGCGTCTAAACATTCTTTCTCAATAGTATCCAGCGGGAATGTACACTCGTTTGGAGGCTCCGTCAATCTCCCCAAATCATTTCGAGCGCTGTCCTCGGAAAAGTGGCGCTGAAAGTCTCAAGTCCTAACTTTAGGCTGTGTGCGAAGGGAAAATAAAAGACACGTCCAGTAGAGCTACTCACTAATACAGCTCCTGCGAAAAGCGGATCTGATTTTTACGGGATAAAAGAGCGGAGAAGCGCATATCCCACACCCGAGGCGAGAGCACTTTCTCATTGACAGAGGGAAGACTACATGCGCCCCTTGCACTGGATGTGAATGATGTTAAATGCATCGCAGCACACCGCCTTTATCAGGAAAGAAATGCACCATCAGTGAACGACGGGGAGAAAAGGTGTGAATGTCCGATTAAAGCATATAAAGCTACCAGCGCTTTGGCTGGAGTGTGACATACAGGCTGTGCATCAATTTAATTTTAACGTCCATTCGGCCGCCTGCTGCTTCAGCCCTCAGCACACCCAGACCTCAGTGTCGAGGATTGTGTTTATCTTCGTCTATATAGTGAGCAACAAGAAACACAGAAAACCACCCTGTCTACCCCTACTGCCAGTCAAATCTGATTTAGTTGATATTTTTGTTTGTTTGCTTGTTTGTTTGTTTGTTTTTTTAATAAAATATCTCAGTATTGAAGTTGTAAGGCTCATTTCACGCGTACCAAATCATTTTGGACTAATTAAACAAGTCACAACAATTCTGTTTTATCCGACAGATATTTTTCTGTCAAATATAATGAATTCCTGTGACTGTGAGATCGCTTGCAATCAATGCAATTTTCACGGCGACAGCAGCAGAGATGATATAAATGATTCAAATGTGACGTTTTGGGGTCGGCTCGCACGTTACAGGTGCTGTTGCGCAGCCTATGCAGTATGTTGGATCTCAAAGGTTTGGGATGCTGTGCGTAGACCATGACGAAGATATCAAGTCCAATCACCGAGTGAGAAAACTCAATCTAGATACTGTGTGTGTGTGTTGTGTGTCCGTGTGCGTGTTTCCCTGACTGACAGCAGCCACGCTCTGCAGCACATTTATGAAATTATGTCCAAGGGCATGCCAATATATGTCCCAGATTATCCAGCAAAAATGCGAGAAATTAGTTTTAAACTAGGCATGGGATGTTATTATTTGAGACTTGAATGCGATTGATGCACCCATTTTTTGGCTATTAACCTTCAAACGTCTAACGTGTGCTGTGAAGTGACAAAGGACTTCCTCATCGATCAGTTCAACGGTGGCATCGGTGCATCTTGCAGTCCTGATTGATTAATTTTCCAAGATGTCCAATAGGAGGCTCCCGGTGATTATTTGGCCTTTGCCTCGAGTATATGCGCAGCTGCTCTTTCTGCCTCCCTGATCACAGGGCAGGGGGGGGTGGAGGCTTTCACAGGTCTGAGTGGGTCACACCTGTGGAGTGTTGGACGTACTCCACCACATCAAGGGAAGGTAGAAGGGATTGTGCCTGTATAGGGAGAGAGAGAGAGACTTGGAGGCTGAGGCAGTGGGGGTCCTTAGTGGTGGTGGTGTGTGTGTGTGAGTGTGTGCGCGTGTGTGTCATGTCTCTCAGAGCCTTGGAGGCAGCTTAGCCTCTGAATATTCATCCACACCTCTGCTGGAGCAAATTCCAGCTACATGCCTAGACTGAGTGAAAGTCTTGTGAGCTGTAGTGGGACCTTGTAAGTCGTGCAAAAAATAAGAAAAGAAAAAAAAAACACAGATCTAACTTGTGCACATTATTGAACAGAGTGTTTTACATCTTTTTATTACTCCACAAAGCATTGACTCCCTTCCATCTGTCAGCTCCTCAAACCGGTGTTCTATTTCTGTTTAGCATAGTTGGCATAATAAGTGAATTATTTAGCTGTGGAGAATGGCTACAAAAGTTATTTCCACCAGGAGACCCATTTCTGCTTTGCTTTCTGCTGCAGTAGACCGGGTCTTGTCGAACGTGCTTGCTCTGAGGATAACATGTTATGGAACTGAGTCCTCCCAATCCCCTCTGCGCAAGACAACTCTGGAGAATTACTTGTTTCAATTAGCTATGGGGCGGAGAGAATTTAAGCCATGTTAATTCCAGTCACTAGTGAAAATCCCAGTCAAAGAGACTAGCCACTCAAGCATAATCGCCTTCCCCCAGACATCTCTCATTTCATGGATCCATTAGGGAAATTAATCAAAATGTAAATTGTGAGGTCACTTTATTGACGGTGTTCAGTAAAGGCCAAAACTTCACTACTTGATTTAGAGGAATCCTCTTCTTATGACAACTCCGAGTGTCCGAGTGTTGCTTTTGCCCATTCACTCATTCAGTGATCTAGATAATTTGGCTTTAAATAGCTGTTTTTTTCTTCTTAATAACAAAAGCTGGATTAATCTCAGTGAGGATGAGCTGCTTTAAAAGTTTTCAAAGACAAATGATGATGTGTGGAAGAATAAGGAGGAGGAGATGACACAGATGCTCCCCATTCAAATAAATAATCTAATTGTTGGAACAGAATCTGATGTTTGTGTCACATCTTTTCATCAGCGTCTGTGTCATCGAATATTGAACTCTGAGGACATACAGACTGTTCGCTAACATCTGATTATCTAAAATTGAGACTGTCTGACACGCCCACAAGTGGCAAGACAAAGGAATGAGTCAGTTTGTCACTCTGGTTTAAAGCAATTTTTTGCAACGAAATGGTGAAACAGGCCAGCCAGGGCAGACAGACAAGCCATATGCTTTATGTGAGTGAAATATTTTTGTCGAGATACTGGCTGGCTGACAGTTGTCGCAGCTGTAACCTTTGAACTCCAAGAGCCTTTTTTATATAAGAGACTGGCTGCAGTCCAAATTGGCCGAGGATGTGCACACAGAAAAACAGATTTGATCTGTAGATTACCACGAAACACTTAGACAGCTGCATTAGATTACTGCATGTATAGAGATGCCTTGTGAGTAATAGAAAATACAGTTAATAAGAGTGTTTTAGCATAGATCAAGAAACAGTGGCCAAAAATACCAAAGCCATCAAAGCTATAAAAATACAGAGCAGTGCTGTCTGTAGGTTTAGTGATGTTGCTTTCTCTGTCTTTTGATGACTCTTTAGCTCTTTATTAAAGTAAATCATCATACATCAAATAATTAATTGAGAACTTATTTAGCAATTAATGTTTAGTATTAAATGCTGATAATATTCATATTAGTTTTCAAATTAAAATGATTTAACCATATATTATGATACTATACACATGAGCTCATCTCTCTTGGCTGTTAAATAAATTAGGTATTGAATATCACTGGATATATGAGCTTGGGCTTTCTGTAACTGGCATAATAGCAGCCCCTGGTGGTTATGTCATTTAACATGCCACCAGGAACATGCCACAAACCTCAACTCAAAAAAGAGTGGTTTACCATAATTTGGATGTAATATTGAAGTGAGACATATACACTCTTTTCCATCAGACATCAGTCAAATTACATAACTATAGCTCAGTCAGGCCTTTTATTAAATGGATCATAGCAGAATAGAAGATGAACAAATAGTGGTATGTATTTAATATTTAGATTTTAGCCACTTTTCCAGATAGTCCTTTTTTTTCTTTTTTATGCTGAGCATTCAATTAAAGAAAACTAAAGCCAATATCTGATGGGCTGTGATATAAGTAATGATTTTATATGTTACCAACCTTTTCAGCAATAATTCTTTACAGACAGAGGACAATGCTACTTTAAGCCCAGAAAAACACAACCCAGTAAATTGGTTCTCCTGTGTGTGAAGCCGAGCACAATCTATTCTGGCCTTGGGCAAGACAACACAATCTCCTGCTTGTTTGGTCATTAACGTGCATACTTACCTGATGGGAAAAAAAGGTACTTGAAAGGTTAATGTTGCCAATATTTTTGGAGTCTTCGATTAAACAGACCTCAGCAGCTACATAGCCTTTGGTTGTATGGCATCTTCTGGGATTGCAATATTAAGAGATATAGCACTAAAGCTGAATTTCCCTGCTCATTTACTTTTGACACCATTTCCCTGCTCATTTACTTTTGACACCGTTGAGTTTTGGTTCTGACTGCTGGGTCTACTGCTAGCACTAAAGATCTAATGTAACAACTAGGCTGATGAGCTTTTACACTCATTCTTTGTTCTAAAAATAAAAATGTGGAGTGGCCTGGGTTGTAGCAACTGCCAGCATTCGCACATAAATGTGCAAATGTATAATAAAAAGTTCCAGTGGTTTCAAACTGGCTAAATGTATATGTAAATGTATGCACTGAGACTTAATGTCTCAACTATTTAAAATTATAGCTACGTTTTAGTCAGTTTCTGGAAAAGACCTGTGGGTGAAAGAGACTAAGGACCCAAAACAAGACACAAAAGGGTAAAAGTAAAAAAGTACAGGTTGTACCAAACTAGGTAGACAAATAAAGTTAAAAGTGTGCCAGCCGAACACAGACAAGGACACGAACAATGTACCATGGAGACAGATTAGCAGAGTGGGAAGAGGTGACCAAAGAGGTGCTACAGGTGACAGAACAGAAGATCAGGTGGAAGAGGTTGGTCTGATGAGAACAGATCATGAGAAAACAGCTATGCTCAGTAAATGATTGAATCTGTCAAAAACTTCCACCCAAGTAAGTTCCACCCAGACATAAGCACATTGTGTTGAAAAAAGATGATATGCGGTAGATAATTTTTAAAAAAAACAAATGGATGGATGGATGGATGGATGAATAGAATTCTTATTTTAAAATATTGATTTGTTTTTAGACTACATGCAACTACTTAAAAAAATGCAGTCTCTCTTGTGCCTCTTTCATGCACAGTGGTCACTGCATTGGACAGCTTTCAAAAGCTATTTTCTTGGGCATGAATGGTTTTGATGTGTCTGCATATCAGCCATTTCAGTTGGCAGTGTTTCACACACACACACACACACACACACACACACACACACACACACACACACACACACACACACAGGTAGTCGCCTGGTGAGAAACAAAGTATACGTAAAAATGCAAGTATCCAAGACAGCCGACAGTGTCCTCTGTCACGCAGCTGATCATGTGTCCATGGATGTCATGCATCACTAGTTATCATTCAACTACAAACCGTGGATGCTATCAATTTTATTGATGTGCAAACAAACTCAGTTCAGTTCTCAGTTCTTTTGATTGTTCTGCAGTTTCTTTCTTTTAGCTATTTGTATGCAACATATGGTGTGTTTACAACAAAGTCATATTTGTACTAATTACTATTATGTGACTAGCCTTTCAATTGTCATCTTTTGAGGTCAGGTGGACCCAAGTCACTGAAGCAAATAGTACAGTTCTTTGAAGATGTATGCACATGGAAAAGCAAGTACCAAAACAAAGGATGTGCCAATTGAAACTTTAAAGAAAAAAGAAGAATTATATTATATCATGTTATATATTATATTTTTCAGAATTACAGGCA